CTTGATGCTTTCACTAGCGACACTGTAGGATGGAAAACACAGAATTGATTAATTAGTTTTCATTTTAAGTCAAACTAAACTCTGGCTTCCCTCCGCCACGTGCTGGCACTGAAGCCAAGACTGAAGCTCGGAGGTGGAAGGCACCCTCAGTGTCCTGAGATCCAGGGTCACAGCTGAGAGCAGGGGAACTGCCAGCCTGAGCACCCTGCTCACACACCCAGGCCACAACAGCTCCTGCCTCTAACACAATCAGCTCACATGGGCTCATTGTGTGTCAAATAATAGAGGGGCTTGCACAGCACTCTGCACAACAGCAGCTTTAACTGACTAATTTATGGTTTCAGATGCTGTGGGTGTTCAGTTCCATCCCGTTCCTGGGGGTTTCTGACAAGCCACTCCAGGTGCTGCGGATCCAGCACTCCAAGCTTTTCCCATTTTCTCGGAGAATTTTGAAACCAGAGCATGTCTCACCTTCACAGCTCACTGCTGGGTGTCATGTCTCTGGCTGCATCCTCCAAGACAGCTTTAAATACCAACGTCTCACTTCACCACCAGGTCCACCCACTGTTTTTAAGTGGCTGGATCAAATTTAGGAGCAGTTTTGAGTTCCCAGCGCAGTTCCCCACATCTCCTCATGGTTCCTGTCACCTTCTGAGAGCTGTGGGTGCAGCTCCACCACACCCAGCTCAGGGGCAGTGGGGAACCTTGCTCAGGTGCCCTCTGTGACACACACAAATAACATGTATGTGACATATAAGCAAATAGATCAAAGCAGGAGACAAGTGACACCTCTAGGGCCTCAAGTGCTAAGGATGATAAACTGGAAAGGTTTATTTATACTCTCACACCTTCAGGATTTGTTTCACCAAAAAAAGATGCATTGGCAAAAAACAGATCTATGCTCAACTATACCTTCTACACCATTTCTCCTTAAACAAAGCAAAGTAAATGTATTTCTGCTTCAGAATTAAGAGCAGCAATATTCCTCTCCCCTATTGCTTTCTAAATGAAGCTCCTGCAAACCCTTTTTGAAGCTTCCCAAATTCATATCCAGACCCGCTCCCCGCTGTGCTCAGGAGAAATGGATTAAACAAGCCTTTTGAAGAGCCCGTAAGCTGCTCTGGGGACAGCTCAGCTCAGCTTTTCCTATGTCTCCTGGAAGAAGGACAGACACCAAAACTCCCAGGACCAAACCTGCATGTGTAGGCAAAGTTCTGCCATTGGGTGAGCACTGCATCCAAGGTTTGAGTCCCAAGCAGCCAGGGCTGGCAAAGTCACCCGGGCCCCTGACAGCACAATAAAGGCCTAAAACCTGTCAAGCACTGCACAACAGGCAAGTTTTGATATTGCAAATATTCATCTCCAGCCATTTCTAGTTAATGAAACAGAGCAAACTGTCGAGGAAAATGGGAACGTTACAGTAAAAACAACAACAAATTAAACTCTAATGCAATTAGAGAGTAATTAGGGATCTATCCTCTGGGAGCATTTTGGAACTCTGGGTCTTTCTCAAAATCTGATCCCTCTGCAACTTTATTCCTTTCTAGTTAATAAGGAAGAAGTGAGTGGCACAGCCCCCCCCTGGTTCCCTGCAAAAAGCCATCTTCTGCTCTGCAGGAGCAGGAGGTGCTGGCAGGTAAAGCATTCACACCTCCTGGCCGAGGAAAATGCAGGTGTCAGCAGAACAGGGTGCAAAGGGAGAACAGAAACCACTGCCTGTGCCTGCTGCAAGGTGACCAGAAACACAAAGACCCAAATGCTCTTGTGTACGAGCCAGCAGAGCATAAGCCACCCCAGAAAACCCTTTGTTTTCCTGCACACAGCTCTGATACAAGCCACAGCCCAGAAAAATAGGTATTTAATACCTCTTGACTTTTTAAATCTACTCACAAAGGTACTCCTCTATATACCTTAACTAAACCTCTCGAGCTTGCTGCAGGACAGAGCAGGGCAGCCTTTGGGCACCAGTCCCAGTGGTGCCCTGGGCAGGGCACAGGGAGCCCTCAGCACCCAGGGGTGCCCCAAACCTGCACACTGCCTGGAGTGCCTCCCCGACACCCCAGAGGCAGGGGATGTGGAGGATTCCACTAAGGAGGAATCCAGGAAATCACAGGAGAACTGCAGCGAGGAGGCAAGGAAGCACTGTCCCATGCAGCCTTTTCTCCATCCAGGCTCACCCACACGGTGCCTGAGGGTTACAGCAAAGCCTGGCGCTGCTAAACCTTCCTCTGGGGATGCACACACAGTGAACGCTCTCTTCAGAGGGTGAGGTGGCAGGGCATGAAGAAAAGCTTTCTCTCCATTCCCTGAGGCTGCTGCTATTCCTGGGGGCAGCCCCATCTGCATTTCACAGCTCCAGTACTTCTCAGCAAGGAGTGTTTTTCATGCTTTGAAAGGAGCAATAAAGCTGTGTCCTGCCATATGTCCTGCTACCTGCCCAGCAGATGTCAGGGAGATAACTCCCTCTGTGTTCAGCAGAGGAAAGGAGGTGGGAACCTTGACCTTCAACTGCTTCTGTGCCTAAATCTGCCCTTGGGACACCCAGAGCCCCATTCTGGCCTAGAAATTGGCCCAGTTCTGATCTCTCAAACCAGTTCTGGATCTCAAGTCACACCTCTTTCCTTGGGAGCTTAACCCAGATAAAGTGAGAACCTGAAATCCAGAAGTGTCCAGGGCAGCAGTGCAAGGACCAGCCCCAGGACCCCACAGCCATCTCCAAGATGGTTTGAAGAGCCTGCCTAATCATGAAAGAACACCTTGCAACGGAGAAGGGTATGATTAGAGACTCACAGGTTTCAAAAATATGCCAACTTTTGGTCAAAAGTTGCTTCTTGCAAAGGAATAATTCTCAGCAAACCCCCACTATTGCTGTCTGCCCTTAACCACTGGCATGAGGGCTGTCTGTTGTGGGGCTTGGGGATCTTCCCTCCCTCCCTGCAGGGAGGGATTACAAATCCACCACCAGAGCAGACCAGGCATCAGCATTCCCAGGTAAACCCCCAGCAAATAGGGAGAGGTGGTGCAGGAGCTATAAATCCCCAGAGAGAGGAAGCCAGCTGTGAGCAAGGTGCTCAGTCAGCAAGGACCAACTGGCTGCATTAATTCCTCTGCAAACTGGAAGCAGCAAATAAAAACAAATCCAGGCAAATATCAGCAAAACAATTCCTTATACAGACACTTTTCAAGCGGGGGCAGTCAGCAATGCTGCCAATAGCTGGGGAGGCCTCTCAGGGTGCAGCACACCTGGGAAAGTGAAAGGCAGCAGCACTGCAGGAGAAGGCAGAAAAGCCCGAGGGAGGAAGGCTGGACAAAGAAGAAAAGTTAAGACTGAGCAACTCAGAGGCAAGGGAAATGACTTCTGAAACATCCCAGCCAGCCAGGCACATGCAGAACCATGGTGCAATGTACAGACTAGGATCAATTATTCGGAGAGACTCAGAAGTGACTAAGAATGGTCAGATAAAATCAATTGTGAGGACTGGAAATCACCTCAAATCTTGAAACTGTCCCACCCCAGGATGTGACCCGGTGGCAGGTGCTGGTACAGAGGCACTTGCATCAGGAGGTTTATAACCTACAGGTCTACACTATTCTGAGAGTAATAAAGGATTCCCAACCTCCTGCTTCTGATAAAAGCAGGGGGAAAGACCCATTTGTACTCTGGAAAGCTCCTGTGCTGCCTCTCCTTCCTGTCCCTTCCTACAGCAGATGAGTCACTGTCTAGAGCCTTTAGCAAAACACCTCTTACTGTTTATCAGGTCCCTGCTACTCCCTGCCCCACAGCACGGCGCAGCAAGTGTCAGGCAGCGCTCCAGGTCACCATCCCCTTCCTGTGGAATGAAGAGGAACCCAAAGCTGAAGCCCCTTTGCCCAGCATCCCCCTCTCTTAGCTGCCCCCCAGCCCAAGAGCATCCCCCTGCTCACCTCTCCCCTTGCAGGGCCGGTGGTTGTGTTTTGCACAGGGACTGCACGTGCAAACAGCACAACCTCACGCAGAAAACGCAAACTGATGGTTTCCAACTCAACGCTCCGCAAATCTTGTTCTTCACCAAATACCACAGGCTCAGGCCACTTGAGCATCACGGGAGGTTAAAAGGAGCGTGTGGCCGTCCCAAGGACAGCCACCCAAGCATGGTCAGTGTCAGGAGCCAGGGGGGCACTGCCCAAGCCCGGTGTCACCCACTGAGGCACACGAACCCCTGGCAGCGCGGACAGCTCGGGGGGCAGCTGCCAGAGACCCTTCCCACAGCCCGACCCAGGTGTCATTTCGCTCGCTGTGTGCCAGGGACAGCTCTGGCTGGGCTCTGAGCTCCGGACGCCCCCAGAGCAACACGTGTGGCCAGGCAGCCCCCGCAGCGATCCGGTCCAGCGCTGTCCCCAGGGACCGCGGCCTCCCTGCAACCGCGCTTCTGCCCTCCAAGCCCTGCTGCCTCAGGAAGTTCTCCGAACTTCCCGAACAACGCAGGGAACAGCCTTGTTTTCCTGCGCCTGCAGACATCCACGCTCGCACGCCAGCAGCCCCGGGAGCTCCCGTTCCCCGCCGGGCCCAGAGCTCATCCCGGCGGAGCAGCACCCCAGCAGCACAGGGGCTGCTTGCCCAGGGTCCTGCACCCAGAGGCCTGGCTGCTCCGCCCGCCGCCTCACACACAGGTGGATGCAGCGTTCCCCAAAAACTCCGCCGGGAGAACACCCCAGGGCTCGGCGCGGCTCCGGAGCACCGGCAGGGCGAGCGCCGGGCACCGCCGGGGGTGCGGGGTGGCACGGGGGCAGAGCCGCCGCTCCCTCACGGGTCGAACCCGCACCCCGGCTCCATCCGCAACAGCGCTGGCATCGCCAGAACCGCCCCGGCAGCCAGCCCCAGCCGGCACCGGACCGCCTGCCACCGCCCGCACCGCCACCGCTATTAACAGCCGCCGGTTCCTCTGCAAACTTTCCTCCAACTCCCATCAACAGATCCCCGCAACCACCCCCGCGCCGGCCGGCGGGCCGGTGCCCGGTACCTTCGGGTCGGGCCGGTGCCTCCTCGGCCGACGGGCAGCGCCTCCAGGGCCGGTGCCTCGGGCGCGGC